TTTTCCTTCCAGGCCTTAAGCTGACCAGCTTGGTGTAGGTCGGTTCTCCTCTGCATGCGCTCCAGTTTGCCGGGGTCTTTCCTCATAAACTGTGCCCAGAACTAGACGCAATATTCCAGGTGCCATCTAGGGCGACTTTGCTTGATCTTGACGCTGGGCTTTGGCTGATGCAGCCTAGGATGGCACTTGCGTTTTTGCAGGTGATCCACCGAGGCACCTCGGTCCGTTTCGCATGTATGCCGCCAGTACAGTCCCGCCCCATCCTATACTCACCAGTTTGCTTTTTCATTTTCCTACCTAAATGTAGGACTTACCATTCACCTTGCTGATTTTTGCCCATTGTTCCAGCTTGTCAAAATTCTCCTGAATCTTGAGGCTGTCTTGAGGCTGTTTTCTATTTCTTTCCTCTTCGCGTGACCTGCAAATTTGGATGGGAGGTTCCTATGCAGCGGGAGTGTTAAGATGTTTAGATCCAGGTTGGACTGAACCCAGTTGTGGGGGGCAGACAGTCCTCCCGGGAGTCGATGCAAATCAACCCACTGACTTCCTCAAGAGCCACAGTCTCTCCCCTCTGCAAAATGCTTGCTCTAATTAACAGCAACCCCTTTTGCCTTGAACATTTTGTCAGACCTTCAGAAACCGGCTTTGCTTCTTTACGTTTTAAATAATATCTTCCCTCGTCAGAGCCAGTTGGAACTATTCATAATAATAGGGTTCTTCCTTTTCACCCACGAAGACCCCAGACCAGTTTGTGGGCTTTACTTCCATGGTTGCTTTTTCCAAGGCAAGAGTTTAGGGTCCTGATAGCAAACCTGAATTTTACAAGAAAAAGACAAAAAGTATGCTAATGCGTGTTTCATCATCGGTTTAGGAAATGGATCACAACCACGGCAAGCCGGTCCTATGAGAGTGGAGGAAATATCCCACCCCATTTCCTTCCCAGAATAGCCTTACTTTGCTAAGTCCTTCTTAGTTTGGCCCAATATTTGATTTTACTGTTTATGTATTTTTCATGTGTTTTATTGTAAACTGCACAGGCGGGTTTGGCTGCTGGGTGGTTTAAAAAATTTCAGACCAACCAACCAACCAGCCGATGAACCAACCACGCCCAGCTGCCTCTCTTATCTCCAGGGCCAGAGGGAGTCCGCCGCCCGCGTCCGGCCTCCATCTTCCCACCGGCCCTTCTAGCGGCACAGTGGCGCTCCTTCCTTAAGTTCAAGGCGGCAGGCAGGCAGGCAGCCAGAGATCTACCCTTCCGGTAACCCACCGATTCCAGCCAGGACGTTGCTGGACCACAGTGTCCATCAGCCTCAGTCAGCACTGCCGCTGGCTGGGAGTTCTAGCGGGAGCACAGAGGCCAGAGGCCACCCGCCGCCTCTTCCTCTCTGGGGTGGACCCGCTTCCTCCACTCACCTGCTCTGCACCGGATGCCTCCCTTCTGCATTCGGGTGGTTCGGCCCCGTGCAGCTCTCCATTAAGAGCGGGCCCCAACAGCGTCCGAGGGCCCAGGCCTGGGGAAGACGACTGAAGAGCCCTCTCGCTGGCAAGTCCTCTGGGCGCTGCTGATGCGGGGACTAGGACCTTACTTTCAGCAGCCGAGGTTCTCAGTAGAGAAAATTAAAAGCAAGTTACCCATTTGTCGTAACTTCACCTGAAGGGGAGAGGGGGTGATCACAGGGACTGCTCCACTTCAGAACGCTGGAAAGCCCCACAGCGGCGGCCCTTCGTCAGCCACGGCTGTCCGTGAAAAGGCTGCCTGGTTGATCCTTCTGTGGAGCTGGGGGGACTGCTAGAGTCCCCGGGCTATAAGCTGGTAAAATATTATTCTGGAATAAGGTAATGACAAGCCTCTTCTATAACACTGTCAAGAAGACCAGCTTGACCTGAGGGCGTCTTTGCCCAGAAATTGTGGGAGAAGTTATGACAATCACGGTGGCAAAAAATCCGAAGGAGCCTTGTCTGGCAGCTCTTTTTCTGAGTCACAGATTTAATTAAAAGGCAGCAGCTTTCATGAGCCGCAGCTCCCTTTGTCGCCTGCACAGAGTGGCTGGACTGATGCAGGATTTAAACTGGGGCAGGGGGAGGTTTGGTTGTGCAGACACAGGTTACACGTGGGACAGATTACAAGTACCTAATTTGTTAAAAACTCGTTGTGTTTATTGAGACCTTCTGAGATTGCCCGAAACCTTTTGATGTGAGCTCAGCAACCGTTCACTCACCACAACGATGGCATTAAAGTCCTGTTTTTCCAAAACAATCATTTGAAGTCGGCCACGGAGATCTGGGAAGTTTGAAATGCTCTGATATTATTTTGTCCTTGTTTTGAGTTCAGATGTTAAATTTCCGTCCATTCTTTTGTGCAAAGTTTGTCCCATTTGTTGTGTGAAGAATCCACAGGGGTGTCCCTGCCTCACCCCAGTTTCAGTCCTGCATCTGCTCCCCAAAGCTTCTGCCTTTTAATAACGTATGAGAGTTGGAAAAGGCGCTCCCGAGCTCCTCCTGATTTTTCTGCACTGTGAGACTGGGGAGTGGTGAGCCTGCATGGGGAACCTCTGCAACCACCCCGGGGCACGGATCACAGCCCCCCCATCCTGAAAGGGTTGCAGTGCAGCCGCAAAGCTAGGATGCTGCAGGAAGCGGCTTCTTCAGAGGCCCGGGTGAGCCTCTACGTCATCCGTTAGAGGCTGAAGCCTGCCAGGAAATTGCCCCCCAGGGCCTTGTGGGAAACGCTCAGGCATCATTCCATGGGTTAGAAGGGATGCCGAAGCGTTTCTCCACCCTTCTCCTGCCGGGCTGGAAATCTTGCATCTGCCTGCAGGAGAAGCAAAGAGCAGGGGCGGCCTCCCTGTCTCGGCAGAGGCTCAGACAGGATCTACAGAGGAGGTTTCTGGAGGGGAACCTCAAGGTCTAATCCTCATTCCCGCAGCTTTTTGGCCCAGCTCAGTTTAGGCGGTCACCAGCAAGGCTGCAGGAGGGCTGGAGCTCCTGCTAGTGGGGAGGGGCCGTGGGGAACCCAGGCCCCGCTGCAGTGGATCCCGGAGCTTCTGCGAGCCAGGGGGGGGCCTGGCCTTCAGCCAGCGCCCTCTTGCTCGCCCCTGCCTCCTGCTGGGCCTTTAACACGGGGTCTCCCGGGGGAGGACTCGGCTTGGGAGTGCATCGTAAAGGAAGAGAGAACATGGGAAAAAAGGGAATCAATAATTTTTAAAAAGAAAAATGGGTATCGTAGGGAAGGGCAGGGAGACCCAACCCCAGCGCGGAGCAAAGCAGTTCAAAGCCACAGGCCAGAAGATCCCCACCCAGAGGGAACCTTCGGCTCCTTTGGGACAAGACTCCTTCTCCCGAACAGTTTGGATTACGGTTCCCATGCTCCCCAGCTAGCACAGCCTATGGTTAGAGATGCTGGGAATTCCTGCTGCAAACAGGCGCAAGGCACCGGCTCCCCTTGGGGGGCACAGAGCGTGGGGCCCTCGGAGGACCAGCCCACCTCCTCTGCAGGCGAAACTGCTCCTGGAGGGGCCCCCGCCCTGCCTCCCGACGCTGCTCCCTCGGGGAAGGGCCCGCCGCCCGGCAAGGCTAGAGAGCTGCTCCTGCGGCTGAGCGGGCACCCCTTCCTTCCTTGGCTTCCACTACTGGCAGCATTTCTGCAGCTGAACTGCCAGCCTGGCTGCAGCCACGGGGCGTCGTGCAAGCCCAGCAGATTTCTCAAAGCTGCGGGATGAGCAAAATGCAAGGGGGCAGGGGGGGGGCAGGCGGCTGGTGCTT